AACATATCAATATTCGCATATTCATTTAAAAACATGAAAATTCTTAATGGAGTACCCTCATTTTTTATTGAATTCCTAAAAGAAAATATTTATAATAAATTTTAATAATTTTTTTCGGATTTTTTTGAAGCTTTATTCTGACCGATTCACCTTATTTCCGATCCGGATAGCCGATTCACCGATCCGGATCGATTTTTGGAAAGCCCTATCCTGGCCACCGATCCGGTTTTTAAACCATTGCTTTTAGCTTATTCTTCTATCCCAATCGTTGGAAAGGATTGGGCGTTGAGAGCGGGATCTAGATCTGTCTACCAGACAAGCACAAAGCCATTTCGAAACCGAGAAATTAGGGTTTTGCCACTGTCAGAAGTGACTAGAAGAGAGCAAGAAAAAATTAAGCCGGGAATTTTCTTGCTATCCTTTTAGTTTACCCTTCTCACTGTGGTGAAACCCTAATTTGTGAACCCCGCTCGAGAATTCACCTCCATTGTTTCTTTTCGTTTGTTTTGTCGGGTCATGGAGCTGTTGTTTGTGGGCAAAATTTGGAAGACGGGATGGCAACAACCAGGAATGTAGTGCACCTAATCAGAGGTAATAAATAGTTTTAGGTTTTATTTTATATTATGGTGAATTCTCTGAAATTTTCGCTGCTTGCTTGTTTGTTTAGAATCTAGTTTGGTTTCCATCAGAATGGAACTTTTTATATTCTTTTAATTTTCTTTCATCCCCATTGTTTTTGACTCAGAGAATGATTTAGGGATTCTTTTCATTTGCAACTGAATCTGTGAATTTTCTCAAAATTGATTCAGAATAGCTTCCTGTTTCTGTTAGAAATCTTGGAATACTTAGTGTTATTTTCTTCTCTGAAACTAGTTTTGATATATTTTCATGAACATTTCCGGAATCAGTTTTAGGTTTTCATGGGCTCAGAGAATGATTTAGGTTTTCCGGAATCAGAGAATGATTTAGGGATTCTTTTCATTTGCAACTGAATCTGTGAATTTTCTCAAAATTGATTCAGAATAGCTTCCTGTTTCTGTTAGAAATCTTGGAATACTTAGTGTTATTTTCTTCTCTGAAACTAGTTTTGATATATTTTCATGAACATTTCCGGAATCAGTTTTAGGTTTTCATGGGCTCAGTTGTTTTTTTTTTGTAGTCTCACGCCATGGCCATTTATTCTTTGTTTTTTGCCATATTTTTACAGAATCTATGTTTGATTTTTTGTAGCAAGCAATGGTAGTGTTCTTTTCATTCTTTTCATGTCAATGACCCTCATAACAGAGGCATGACTGTTAGGATTTATCTTTTATTCTGTACGTAAGGGTTACTTTCATCCTCTTCAACTTGTTCTAACTTGAAATGGGTTTAAATGGTTTTCATATTTTTGAGCTCACAACCATTGTTCTTAGATTTCCTTTTTCTTTTTCTGGTTGTGCTCTTGAGTAAGACTTCCAGATTTAGTTTTAGGATTTCACTGGCTCAGTTGTTTTTATTTTGTGGTCTCAGGGGTTCTTCCATGCCCAATAGTTCTTTGTTTCGGCCTTATTTTTACAGAACCTATGTTTGATTTTTTGTGGGAAGTCAATGTTTGTGTTGTTTTTATTCTTTTCATTTCTATAGATCATAAAACAGAGGCATGGCTGTGTTAGGGTTTATTTTTAAGGGGTCATTGAGCAATGGTTTTATTTTTATTATATATAGTAAATAATTGAGCAATGTCCTTTGAGGCCTGGCAACCGCTACTGACAACAATATCTCACTTTCGTTCCTGAGTGATTACATAGAAGTCCTCTTGAATAAGGGCCTCAGAAATGCTAGTTCATAAAAATTTATAAATTTCATAGAGGAGTGGATTTTACTCATAGAGAAGAAAACAAATAATTATCCACAATCTCTACATCTTGAACTATGGCCCAGTTTGGATGCTCCCACAAATATATTCATGGATTTGTTCATGAATATGGGGGAAACAGATTTACTTTTATTTGGTGGGGAAGGTTTTGCGGCATATTAATATGTGCAGAATAGAAATAGGCCTTACTCATGAATAACTGGAGTGGACCAAACAATGCTTATTACTATTCATGAATTGGTGGGCAGAGAATGGAATTATTCATGAATAAATGGTGTGTCCAAACAGTGCCTACATGTATCCCCATTAACATGAAATTCTATTTGCAAGTGTTAGATCAATATTTGGTTGTTTACAATGTTAATATATGACTTCATGTACTCTGCATATTCCTAGCATCTTAGATTGTTTCTTTGTGCTGTGTGAGCTAGGATATGTGACTCATCTTTTTTATTTTCTTTTTAATTGATTGCTTTTCTTGTTAAGTAGATTTTTTTGGTAATGATTCTAAATTTCTGTTTGGATTGTGTAGTTTGATCTATACGAATAATCTGGGGACCTGTCCTTATTGATTCATATGTTTCTTTAGATGTTTCCCATGGCAGTAACATGTGGCTCATGTTTTTTTATTTTCTTTTTAATTGAATGCTTTTCTTGTTAAGTAGATTTTTTTGGTATTGATTTTAAATTTCTGTTTGGATTGTGTAGTTTGATCTATACAAATAATTTGGGGACCTTTCCTTCTTGATTCATATGTTTCTTTAGATGTTTCCCGTGGCGGCGAAATGTGGTAATACATTTGTTTTGAAGCCTTTCAGAGAAAGATCCAGGAAATTTTTGTATCGCCTTTATGGATTTGGTGTATTTAAGATTTTAACATTGCTGACATTCTAATGATTATTATTTGCGCTCTTTGTAAACGTGAACTTCCTAGTGATTAGTCATGCATGGAAGCAGCACTCTAGTGAGGTTCATTTTACCAACACAGGCAGCATGCCTGTGCTTCACCACACACAACAATAAAAGGGTATGCATTTCTTCTTATAGATTTGGTCCATTGAAATGTCACACACAACAATAAAAGGGTCTGCATTTCTTCGTATAGATTTGATCCATTGAAACATCATGATCGATTTTGACCATTATTGGAACTATAATATTTTGAACTTCCCTTGCCTCCTGCATGTTGTGGTTCATGAATGCTAGTTTATTTTAAATATAAACTTACTACTATAAGGTTCGTGGCTTCATCATGATTTGCCTTTTCTGTTCTCTGAATTTCTTAGAGGATTGAAGTATGTTGTATGACTGGTGCAGGGGCATCTATGATGCTTGCCGAGCTTGCAATGGAGGCTGGTTTACCAGATGGTGTGCTAAATATTGTTCATGGAACTAATGTATGTCAGTTGTTCTCAGTAAATCTCATGTGTCTCTACGTGGTTTATTTATTGTAACCATCTTGAAATACTTTTTAAATTAAACAATACTTAATTTGGAATTTAGTATGAAATTATTTGCTTACTTTTTTACCTTGTGGAGGACAAGATTCTATTTTCTAGGGTCTTGTTGTTATCAAATGTTTGGTTGTAAAATAGTGCCATAACTACTTGTTTGGTGTTTCAAATTTGGATTTGAGCAGGACATTGTGAACCATATTTGTGATGATGAAGACATCAAGGCCTACCAGATGGTGTCCTAAATATTGTTCATGGAACTACTGTATGTCTCATGTCCTAAATATTGTCCTAAATATGTACATGGTTTATCTATTGTAACCATCTTGAGATACTTTTTAAATTAAACAATACTTAATTTGGAATTTAGTATGAAATTATTTGCTGACTTTTTTACCTTATGGAGGACAGGATTCTATTTTCTAGGGTCTCGTTGTTATCTAATGTTTGGTTATAAAATAGTACCATAACTGCTTGTTTCGTGTTTCAAATTTGGAATTGAGCAGGACATTGTGAACCATATTTGTGTTGACGAAGACATTAAGGCAATATCATTTGTGGATTCAAATACAAGAAGTTTTATCTTATGAACTTCAATTTGCATTCTTAGTTTTAACTTATGTAATTGATCTGTACAGTAAGCTTTTAACTAATAAGCTTTGATCTGTAGGATTGAATTAGTATCAATACTTCATATAGTTAATCTTGTAAATATGGATTAGCATGTTGGAATACACATATATGTTTGGGCAGCAGCAAAAGGAAAACGTGTTCAGACAACAATCTTCTTCATTATTGTAGAAGGATTGTAAATGAGCTAGTTATTATGTAGTCCTGCCATTGAGGTTATGAATGCTCAACTGGCTGACTCGTTCAGTCTAACATGGGGGCAAAGAACCATGCAGTTGTCATTCCTGATGTATTGCTAAATATCACAAGCTTTGAATTTTGTATTGCTAAATATCACAAGCTTTGAATTCTCTAGTTGCCGCCGGTTTTGGTGCTGCTGGTGCATGGCCCTCAGTACAGTTGTTTTCATTGGAGATTTGAAACCATGGTACATTGTTTTAGTTCCATTTTTATGTATGTGTTGATTCCCTTTCAGTCATTTTTTTTGTCGCATCATTTTCAAACTATGCTGCAGTTTATTTCAAAGCTCAGTTATTTGGATTAACTTTCCCGAGGATGCATGTTTCCTTGCTTTTGTATATGGGAACGTTTCTATGCTTCCCCTATAGCATAGCAGATCTTAGATCCAATGTCTCAAAGTATTTTATATTTAGTTTTTTTTATACAAATTTTATGAATATGAAATTGGTATGTGCCACCTTCTCATTGGGGCGCACCTATAAAAAAATATTAAAAATAATTTTTTGATAAAATATAATAACCAAAATACCCCGTGAAACTTTTTGGGGTATCTTGGTCATTTTATTTTATTGCAAATATTTTTTTAAATTTTTTGCTAGTGCGAGTTTAATAGAGGACTGGACGTACAC